CTTGACTGTCTTTTCCCTTACTGTTTGGCCTGGTCAGGGTTAGATCAGATCACGGGGTCATAGACTTAGTGGCTCAGGGCTATACCCTGGTCTTGGATGCATTGGAGCTAAGCTGGCCATTCTTCTCAAGGTCATCTCCCAGTTCCACACAGGTCAAGATGTTATACTTGCCAGTCCTTTGTCCAAAGTCTCACGTAGTGGATGAAGAATGCAGATCGCATACCCTGGACATCAGACAGGCACTGGCCGTCTACATAGCTAGAGTAAAGCCATTCTGTAAGTTGATGCAGTTGTTCATTGTAATTGCAGACAGGATGAAAGGTTGCCCAGGGTTTGCCCAAAGAATATCATCATGGATCATGGCCTGCATCTGTTCCAGTTATGAGTTAGCGAAAGTACCCCCATTGCCCATAGTGATGGCTCTCTTGACTAGGGTGCAGGCGTCCTTGGCAGCCTTCATTACCCAAGAGCTGATCCAAGAAATCTGTCAGGCCACAACCTGGTCAACCATCCACACATTCCCTTCACAGTGTGCACTGCCCAGTAAGCTAAAAATGATGCTGGCTTCAGCAGAGCAGTGCTCCATTCTGCAAGTCTGTGAATGCTGAACCCGCTTCTAGGGATTCTGTTTGAGAGTCAACTAGAATGGAATAGACATGAGCAAGCACTGAAAGAAGGAAAAACGGTTACCTGCCTTTCATAACTGTTACTCTTTGAGATGTGTAGCTCATGTCCAATCCATTATCTGCTCTCCTGTTCTCTACCAGAGCACTTTGACAGTAGCTGTCAAGAAGGAACTGACAGGGCATAGGGCAGTGGTGGGCAGCCTGCAGCCCATGAACAGTATGCGGACCATTGGAGTTCTATGTGTGGGCCATGAGACATTTTGTTTACCATTGCCCATGCACAGGGTTGCGAGATTCTGCCCATTTCCATCCTGGTAGTTTTTTCCCTCCTGGCATTCCTAAACTGACATGCATGCAAAGCAAGGGCATGGTTCAGTCAGCACACCCCGCAGAGCTACCTTGTCCTGGGAGATGGTCTTGATTATGATAATCTTGTAGCCCGCTATGATGGACGTCTACTCATTAGGGCTAGCTTGCCTATTGCTAAGGCCAAAATCACCGATGACCATGCACATGGGCATTTGCACCCCTAGAATAGAGAGGACAAGAGCAGTACATCTTGAAGATAGGGATGTGAACAGGTACCTGGTTAACTGGAACCAGGAGTAGCCCTGTAGATGTCAGGAGCTGGACCCTGCACAGGGGAGCTGGGAGCAGAACCCCCTTCCCCCCCTCACTTGGGACTGCTGGGGCCGGCAAAAAGTGCTGGGAGCCCCAAGTGGGGGCGGGGGGGGAGGGCCAAAAACAGGATACTACTTAATCAGTTAACTGGTTAAACCTAAGGTTTAACTGTTAACTGATTAACTGGGATTTTACGTTTCTACTCAAAGAATAACAGTTACAAAAGATCGGTAACCTTTTTTTTCAGATGGCTCCATGATGCATGTATTATTGTTGAAATGGTGAGTCTAATGCTTTTTTATTTCTATGCATATAACATACGTGTCGGCTAATATGGTTTAATGTGTATAATATGTGTGTGTTTAACATGCTCCCCAAAAGCAATTACATTTAAATTCATGCACATGCCCATACATATTCTGAAACTTATTCAACTGCTTGGATACTGTAGCTTTTTGTTTTGTTTAGTAACAGTTTTTCATTGCTTTGTCAAGGATCACTTATATGCTATATTATCTGGTTTGCAAAGACTATTATTTTATTATTTTAATCGTTATTGATTATTGTATTATGATAGGCCTCAAAGGCTGCAATCAAAGATCAGGACCCCCTTACATAGGGTGTATATACATGCAATTAAAAGACAAAACCTGCCCTGAAAAAGTTGACAACATTAGCATTTGATAAAAAAAAATGGAGGAAAAATGAACAGGGTGGATGAAACAATTATATGAGGGATGAGAAGCACCAGTCTCAGCGTACCAACTACCAAGCTGTGGTCTCTATTATATCCTGCTCTGAACACATCTAGTTTATGTGGCAGTATTGATGGCGTTACTGGATAGAGGTTGGTCATCTGCCTTTCATATATCTCCATTGTTTTCTGGTACTCACTTTGACCTATATCTGGGCTCTGGACAAGAAAGCTGGGACATTAATATTCTGAAACTAAGGGAATATAATTGCAAAATCATCATACAGTTTTGCACTCAAATGTGAGTATATAATCTCAGTATCTGTAAAATAGCAATATCCTATTGCATAGAGATAAATAAAAAAGGAACAAAAGTCATACCATATAAATAACTCACATACAGTAACCTCTTGTCTGTATCTGAATTGTATCAGTGTACTACTTATAATAAATTATAACTAACTAAAGAGAGGAAATGTTAATGTAAAACTAACAAAGGAGAAAGGAGACAATGAATTGATTGGATTCCACTCCTGAGAGAGGCAGTTGGGTTCTCTAGATGGAATTAAGGAAAGAATACTTAAGACTTAAGGACAGAATATTTTCACCATGGCAGCTTCTTCTGGACTCTATTAAAAGTAATCCCAGAAGGTATGGATAAGTGAACAGATAAAACAGTCAGAGGTATGCAGGAAATGCTATTTATTACAATTTATCTATAAATGATGGGTCCATTTCCCCTCTCACCTGGTCTGCTGGTCTCATCCTTTCATCTCTATCTTTTAGAATTCATGGCATAGAGGAGGATATTAGCCTATGAATGAGATTTTTTGCCTCATTGTAAGCCCTGTTGCTATGCCAGGTACCATATAAATGCTTTTAGTAAATAAATAATAAACATTGTGTAAAAAAATGTTTAGGCAGATTTTGCCAAGATGGTTCCAGCCAAATACTGTTAGTCATTAACTTTTCCTTCTCTCACTCTCTTTGTGGGCATATTTCCTGTACAAATTTTCCTCTCCATTACATACGTTTTATTCATTGTAGCGTATTTGCCTATATTTGCACAATAAATTAGCATGAATTTATATGAAAAGGGATGTCAGTTCATGTTTATGTTAATTAATAACTAGGTACCATACTTGGAAAAAACAACAAATGAAAACCATCATGAACGTTTACTTGTCCTTTTTAGACATAGGTCTTTTTTCCAATAAGACACCCTTAAAACCCCAAGGATCCCTGCTATGTTCACCTAATTATTCCAGTAATTCTTAGCTCTTGGGTTAGCTGACCATCCAGTCAAGAAACATCCGGCATAGTTCCATCTTCAGGAGGTTAAAGCCACTCATGACTAACTTACAGGGGTTACTATAGAAGACTCACTTTCCCCTTCATCATCTCCTAAGCTTTGTTTCCACTTACCAGGAGAGCAACACTGCAGAGATTGATCTCCCGGTGTTCAATTCTTACTAGACCCTCTAAATCAACTACTGGTCATGCCCCTGTTGATGCTGGTACTCCACTGGGTCATGAAGAATAAGAGAAGTCCCGCAGTAGGGATGCCATGGAAATTCAAACTAAGGTATATTGACTCCCGCTACACTATTCACATAGCTAGAGTTTCATATCTTAGTTCAACTTTGTCCTCTAGTGTATACCTAGCCCCCGTGATTACATCGCCTCTGAGGAACTCCCAGCCTTTCCCAACCAGAAGCAAAGAAACAAGGCCATGTCTCCCACATGGTAGGGTACTTTGATACTGCTAGGCTGGCCCTGTTTGGTGCATTTAATATGTGTATGAGTTAAAGGTTTTTTTTAATGATGATTGAGACATATTTACTTGGATTTATTTAATATCATTTCTGGATCAATCCTCCCAACATAAAATTGAGTTTATGGAATTAATAATGTGCTTTCTTTTAAAATCTTCAATTCAGTTTAATATATGTGTTTCTCCTGTTTTATTAGCTGAACTAGTTTTTAAAAGGGCAGGCTATTTTTAGTAGGCTTAGATGTTTTTCTGCAATGATGTCATGAAACAAAGTGTTCTTAGAGGGACAAGAATTAGTAAGTGGGCAATCTTGACAGGTCCGGAGCTCAGCTTTGGTTTGGATAAGCACCCAACTTTTTGAGTGTTGATCTGAAACTTAATGAAACTATCCACGTGATATGCAAAATTTGATTAGAAAGGCTGTGCAAACTGGGTGCATCACTTTAGTTTAGGTCTTTTGGTTCCAATCCCAGTCAGAACTCATGAGTGCAGCTGTATATGAAAAATAACAGCAAACTAAAAGCAAACCTAAAATTATCAAGCCTCCCAAGAGTTTTGATGTTTGGTTCTAGAAGGACCCAGTAAGAAGGGGGAAGAGAGACTTTTTTTTCTAAACCTCAGATTGGTTTTCCTGTCCTTTGCAGCAATGTCACATTTAAAAAAACATAAATCCTTCAAGACTGGTTACTCATTTGCTACCTCACAAGTTGCATTTTTAAAGGACTCTTCAGGGGGATTTTTTTTAAATTACTCTTTCAGTTTCCACTTCTATTAATTTTAATATTTTGAATCTTAGAACTCCCCAATTATTCAGTATATTCTGTATTATCCTCTGTGCCCATCTATCCTGAAGTACAAGCTTTTGCTCTATCTGAAATGTGAAAGAAGTGATCCTTGTTTAGGGATTACTCACCCTTGCTCAGCTGTTCCAGCCATTTCAAAGAAGCCTTTGCATCCAGATTTTCTTGTTTATCTGGCAGTTCATTATTTAAGGCTGGCCTGTCAAAATAGGTTAAATATTCTTTGGGAAATATGGTCACATCTTTGAGACACCACAAATATGTTTAATATAAAAAAGATTGGCTTGATAAGAAAAACATGATAAACTTGCATCACCAAAAATATTTCTCTGCTATTCCATTGGTATTTCTAAGGACATCAATAAGCAGTGACACATCTCCTGGCAATAAATTTCTGGAACAGGCACACAGAGACACTGGCAAAGCAGTGAAAATGATTGCTGATGATTCTTTCTAACTACTTGGCCTTCTGACCTCTTCTTCAGATATATGACCAAGATGGGACACTACAGCACTTTATTGATGGTGGGGAACCCAGTAAGTCAAGTTGGATGAGGTATATCCGATGTGCAAGGCACTGTGGGGAGCAGAACCTAACAGTAGTTCAGTACAGGTATAGTATGCCTTGATTTATTTGCCACAAGAAAAAATACTTGAAATGAAAAGTCAGAAGTGTAATTATCACCAGGTCACAAACAATTATTGAGCCTTCTTGAATGGCTTCATTTTGTGCAGTACAAACTAGTGTATGTATTTAAAGGCTCTTATGTTTGGTTGTCAAAAACTGGGGGAAGGGAACGTCATTTAGAGCACATGCTGCATGGTTGATTCTGATCTCACTGATGTTCCTGAAGATTTAAACTCTTGTTACATTAAACGAGGAACATGCATGCAGATCACATTGCACAAAGCAATCTGCACATCCTTTGAGTAGTCTTAGTAGACTGCTCTGGAAAGAGTAGTTTGCTTGGTGGCTTTGTCCTGTACCCCTAATAATAGATCATTATGATAGGGGAGAAGGACAAGGAGAGGGCCTCATTTAAATAGAAAACAGCAGAATTTTGAACAATGACGACTGTTTGGGGCCATTTATGACCCAAATATGCCTCTTCTAAATGCACCTGGCAGCCAAGATGGTCTCCTGGCCTGTGCCAAAGATGTTAATAGCTAGTGGAGGTTAAAAAAAAAAAGAGAGAGAATGTGAAAAAGAATATGTAAAGAAATGGCTTCCATTTCTTCCTCTACAACCTCCGCACTGCCCTCCCCAAAAAACCCCTAGAAATGTACATGTATGATTACATGAATTATATATGAATATATTAATTCAGCCATAACAAATCTTTCCCCTTCAGAATCAGAAAGAACTGTTTGGCTTTATTAAATGCTAGCAAGTACATCAAAGAATGTTTGGGAACTAAGCTGAACACTCCTGCTGTTGGCTATTTATTTTGGGTTTTTTAATGACCATTCTTAAACTTATTTTTAATATTTTAAATATTTTAATAAATGTGAATGCAAACAAAAATGAAAAATACACCCAGTTTGATTATTTTCTTCTAGGGAGCCATTTTAACAATGATCAAATGGCCCAATAGCATTTTTCAACTTTGTTTCTGGCTCCTTGTCAAAATGAAGTAACAGTTCAAAGAAGTCTATATGACAATGCTTTATCATATTGCAAACTTTTATTATAGTATTAAATATTTATATTTTTGTTATAATTCTGGTGGTTCATTGTCTGTTTAAACTATGATTGTGTTTGCAAAGAGGACTTTTGGTTGGTAGTCCATACACATTCTGAACCACTGTGACAACTGTTTGTGTATGGAAAGTAGGTGTAGAGTATGTGTGTGTGTGTGTGTGTGTGTGTGTGTGTGTGTGTGTGTGTATACATATAGATGAAAAACTTAAATGAAATATGGGCATGAGAAAGTCGTTACACATCTGTCAATATTAAGTATATTTTACAACTCTACTTTCATGATGGAGCTTTTACTTAGAGTTCCCTCTGTTGATCTGTTTTTGATTACTTCAGATCTTTGTAAAATGAACTACAAAAACACAATTTAAAAAACTGGCATCCATCACTAGTGACTGAATCCAAGTGTAAGAAAATAGAAAAGTTGGACACTGAAAAACTGGTCTAATTTTTATTGTACATGGACGTCCTCCTCACAGAAAGTCAGCTGGTTTAAATTCGTTCTGTTATGATTTGTAATATCTAAATGGAATTTTCTTCAAAGCGCTCTTGATTGATTGACCCTTAGCTGAACGTTTTGTTTTTATTTTGAGGCTGACAATAATGTTTGTTGGCATGTGTTCTGCTTCAACTGCGTTGGGACGCCATGAAGCTATCTTTATGAGTCATCCAACCACAATACTAAATACATGTCAGCAAAGGAAATATTATCCGAAAAGGGAAAAATCCCTTTGATGTACTTCAGCATGCAGAGATTTCTGCGAGTTTTGGAAGCTCCGTATGCTTGTAAGGAACGGTGTACACTTACACATTTTTTTTCGGCATATTCCTAGCTTCACAGACCACCCATTGCTCAAAAACAGTTCAGCTCTTTCAGCGGCAGAGTGTGTCATTTGGTTTTAGCACGTTCATTTGCTGGGCTGCTGTGTTTATGTTAAGGGAAGCCAAACTGAGAGATGAAATGTTACAAGGGTGAAGTACAAAGTACACTCGATTTTTCTCAAGTTAGGAGATGCTGGTGATTTATAGCATGGCTCCAATTTTGATTTTTATGTAACAGTGGAAAGAATTAATAACATGTACAATTTTGGGAGGAAGAGAGAGAGGAGCAGAGTAAGAGAGCAAGACAGAGACACGAAGGCAAGAGTTTTTGTCAGATATTCATAGAATGTTGGGAAAAACATTCTGCTTAGCTAGCAGTGCCCTCCTGAGACAGGGTGGCAGTAAGCGAGGAAAATAACAAGATAAATGAAATTTTTGCAGCTGCTAGTAAAATATTGAGAATCTGCACTTTTTTATTGATCTTTATGATCCTGTTGCCAAGAGCCACTTTGCGGTGACAAAATATGTTGACAAGTGCATATCTCACTGCCATGAAAAATGTGGCGAAGGATTCTCCTTATGTCTGCAGTGTTATACAAGGAATAAATTGCACAGCTATGGCAAATTCTTTACAGAAAGGCTAAATTTAAGGCCTACCAAGTCTAAACACTTTTATCTTGAACTTCAGGCTAATATTTCTAGCAGTTCTTCTCTGAGAAAACCAGTTAAGGTCTAACTTTTTAAAAAAGTCTCTAGATATTTTTCTGTCTTACGCAAGCTGTTTTTAAAATGGTCATTTCTTGGTACCTTGCCTATATCATTTTGGTGTGTAATTGTTCAGGCAGAGTGGAATGCTCTTCTTGTATGTATTGAATTTCAATCGATTTAATATAAGGGTATTTTACTGTTCTAGGCTTAAGCGAAAAGCTTCAACAAACCCAAGGGATTTTTAGCTCCTCTTCTAGATGCTGTATTCTGATCTCACAGTTTTTTACATTTGTGTAACTCTAACTTCATTGGAATTACTCGAGTCATTTTCACCAAAGGTATGTCTAAACTACATCCCTTTTCTCAAAAAAGGGATGTAAATTAGACACTTCAAAATTGCAAATGAAGCCGGGATTTAAATTTCCCGTGCTTCATTTCCATAATGGCAGCCGCAGGGTTTTTTCCCGAAAAGAAAGAAAAAAGGCCATTTAAACAGGGATCTATCGAAAATAAAACCCTTTTTCGGAAGATCCTGTACTCCTACTATCATTACAAAGTAGCTTTAAGCTGTTTGTTATCCTGTGTTACAAGCACTTATTGGAGTTCTACATTGACGAGATGGATTCAGGGTTACTTAATCAATGAGCTATTCTTTTGGGATAACTTGCAGAAATTCTTCCAAAACCATGAAATTCCATCAGAATAGAGCATATGGTAAAAGGAGTACTACATGTTTCTAAACTGGGCTATTTTTCTGTTTGTTATGAATAGGTCAAATATATTCTACAGGGCCTGTATAGATATCCCCAGAGGCACTGAACTGCTGGTGTGGTACAATGACAGCTACACATCTTTCTTCGGAATCCCTTTACAGTGTATTGCACAGGATGAAAACTGTAAGTATTGTATTTCTAACTCTATGTCCACAATTCATATTTCACAGTTAATATCTCAGTTTTGTTCCTTGTGTTTCTTAAGAAGTATGAAGTGACCCTTGGATATTTATTTAAGGAAAGCTTGATGATTACAGAAAAAGGCCTGGAGTCTGAAAACTCTTAAATGATTCTGAAAACCCTTAAAATATACAACTTCAGTGGAACAACTTATATGAATAAAGCTTACGTACTGACAAGTGGGCAGGATAAGACCTAAATTTCAAGGCATCCGCCATGGCATAGCAACGTTGAAATCACTTCTTATTAGGGATTTATTGCCAGTTTATTCTTAATTTATTTCCCCAACCCTCTCTCTAGTTGACAGTTCTATCATAGAATTTTATTTCTTGCCAAAAAGATAACATAATGTGATCTTTCCTGCCACTCTCAATGCTGCTTCATTATATTATTGTGGGGTGTATTGATGGCGGCCTAAACTGGCTGTTTACAGAGTTGGAGTCCTTGTGGTGAGAGAAAATGCTAATTCCTTTATATAAAGGCTAATTGCAAATCACCTGATATGATGATGAAACCCCCCCTCCTGTCACAGCTATTCCCATCTCTAGTCATTCCTCTCCAGTGCCGTTTTGGCCCATTATGAATTTTTGTGTAAAGCCTATAATTTATATCACAGACACAATTATGCAAGGTGCTATGTGTACTTGTCTTCTGTGCTCAGCATCTCATAGGGTTGGTGTGTGTGTGTGTGTGTGTGTGTGTGTGTGTGTGTGTGTGTGTGTGTACACGTGTGTGTGTGAGTAGGACTCCCTTCTTTCAGCTTGAATCAGGGGACTCTTCCATTTTGATAGTCACAAGTGTCTGTGTGGTGGAAGAAGCCAGTAATAAAAGTCTGAATGACCTTGATTGGGTTAAAATGACCCCGTCGTTGCCAGCACATAATCAACTCTATGCTTCACAAATACTTGGATATTGTAAGAGCTAAACTGAGATGAAGTTGTGTCTCTTAGCATCTGAACCAGGCAGCAATAAAACAGCAAGATACCAGGGATTAAACTATCAAAAATAAACATCCTTATTCATTTGGAGTTTTCAAATCTGTTACACTTGAGAGGCGTTTTAAAGACATTACATTACTGGCCATAATGTTTAGCACTAAAAAAATCATCATCTCCAGTGGATAATACAGAAATATAATTTGCATTTTTATGAGTTGTACATTACAAAACAATTAAAAAATGATACAGAGAACAAAACCCCATCACAGTTAAAACTTTAAATATTATCACTACAAGGGAAACCAAGGACTTTCACCCATAAGTTAGGGAGACTAACAAGAGGGGAAAATAATCATCTCTGTTAGTAGGATAGCCCCAACCCTATGTATAACCTAAACACCATAATAGACTTTGTGCTGGTCCTCTGCACAATGATGAATTTCATCCCCTATAAACTGTGACAATTTAACTTCGCTATTTAATTTCATTATTTGAATCTCTTGATGGAGGTTTTAAGCTTACAAATAAAAAAACTAAATCTTCCTTGTGTGCCAGAAACTTGGAGGAGTGTTATGAAAAGAAAAGTTTATATTTGACAGGCTCTTCTGCATATGTTGTGCCATACACCTAAGAGCGTATGTGTACATACACCTTAGTGTATATGTGTTAAAACATGTACTGCAGTGCACATTCTTCTGGGGTGGAACTCTACAAAATCATCAATGTTTCATCAATCAAAACAAATATAATAATCCATGTAATTTAGCTTATTTGTGTCTAGGCCTATCTATGATGCTATTCACTGTACAATCTGAGAGCCTATTTTATGAGTAAAGGAACTTTATTATTTATAGTACCATAATAACATGGGTTTGCACTGAATTTTTTATTTCAGTAGTTTTAGTTTTAGTAACTATTCAGACATTAGTCACAGTCATTCATTGTACAGATCATTTGAAACTGGTACTGTGTCTCAACAAGATATACTCGTATTCAAAAAGTAAATCTATATGTGTGTATGTATGTGTGAGAGAGAGGGAGATTCTCAAGTGCAACCTTGAAAGAATAGTATGGTTGCAAATCCAAGCATTCAAAAGCTATGAAACACCAGAATTTAAGACATCCATGTGACACTGTGAATTATAGTACAGTTTTTCAGTACTTAATCACATACTATTTTTTTCACAGAACTCTTGCCTCATTCAATGCACAAGATGGACAGTGCTCAAGAAATGAGGCAGATTTCAAATATTTCTTCTGTGGCTATGTCTAAGCTGCAGACCTATTTTGGGTTACCAAAAATATCCTGAAATAGCTATTCCTTATCTTTTGAGCATACCCGTTATTTCAAAATAGATTTCAAAGTAATGGGTGCGCTATTCCAGCATCCCTGTAATGCTCGTTCCATGAGGGATAAGAGGCATTTTGGAATAGCACTTTATTTTGAAATTTGGTGCTGTGTAGACAGTGCCAAATTTAGAAATAAGCAATTTTGCAAATTGCGTAGCTTATTTTGAGATAAGGGTGCAGTGTAGATGCACTGATCATATGTGATTCCCTATGTCTCATTTACTCATTTACATCCAAATGTTGCACTGAATGCAGAATTTTATTTTCTTGTGTATTAAATTGTGTTCTTCATCAAAATATGTGTGCGTCTCACAATCCATAATTAATCTAGCTTTTCAACACCTTTGTGAGGTAGGGATGTATTAGTAATCCAATTTTATCAGAGGGGAACTGAAATACAAAGATATTTAGGTATATATTTTGCAATGTCTCATGATACACTAAATCCTACCAGCCTTAATCATGCAAGCAGACACAACGAAGACTCTGGCTTTATATTATATGTATAAATGAGGGTGTAATATTGCCCTTTAGTGACTACCCATTTATAGGATAAAGGAACTATAGTTGTAACAACTAGGATTCTGCTTTAACTCAAGTGTCAGGGGTCTGTGTTTTGGGGATTGAAGAGGAAGGGTTTTGAACCAGCTCTGTCTGTGTGTGTAATTTATCTAGTAATTGTCTGGTTTTTGCAACACAGAGGGATTTGATATAGTGAAAGACCAGCAGAATTTTCTCTTAGTTGTGAATCCTATTGTATCACACTTCTAAACACTCTTGTCACTCTTCTCTGGACCTTTTCAAATTCTCAGCTTTTTCCTCAAATGCCTTCCTTCATGTCAGAACCAGCTTCCCCATTCAGAGTGCATTCTCATTCCAGCCCTTTTAATATGTATAATAACGTTAACGTGTTTGAATGGAGTTAGCAGAAAATTGATTTTGAATATTTTGGGTTTTCTACCCAAATTGTATTAGTTTTAAGAAACAGTAAAGCAGATCTTATTTACTTCTTTTTGTTTTCTCCCAGTGAATGTCCCATCGACTGTAATGGAGGCCATGTCCAGACAAGACACCCTACAGCCATTTAACAAAAGTAGCAAACTACCCCCTGCCACTCCACAGCGATCCATAGTATTTCCACAGACTCCATGTAGCAGAAATTTTTCTCTTCTGGATAAGTCTGGGCCCATCGAGTCAGGATTTAACCAAATCAGTGTCAAAAACCAACGAGTTCTTGCAAGCCCAACTTCAACGAGCCAACTAAATTCTGAGTTCAGTGACTGGCATCTTTGGAAATGTGGGCAATGCTTTAAGACTTTCACCCAGCGGATCCTCTTACAGATGCATGTGTGTACGCAGAACCCTGACAGGTAAAACACAGGCTCTTTATTTCTGTATCTTTTGGTAGCCAGATACACTGCTTTGCTTTTGTCAGACTGTTATAATTTCCAAAACGTATCCGTTATTAGGAGGAGCCTGTACCACATAATTCACCTGAAGCTGTGTGAAGTAAGCTGATAGAGGCCATTGCTTGACTTCACAATTTGTAAAAAACATTTGGTACCTAAATGCACAGATAAAAGGAAATAGCCAAGAATATGCTCTTGGTTTCAGACTGCCTTGGTACATCTGTTAGACAGTTAGAGTGAACAAAACAGAAGGAAATTTTATTAATATTATGAATGGAAAAAATGAGGTCAAGATAATCAAAAGTCTCTTTGTCTTCCAAAGATAATATAACTTGCTGTTCAGTAGCTGTCATAGTCATTTCAGGGTTCACCTATAGTGTGCAATGTGTATGAACTTAATTAAGTACTAAGAGGTAATGAATTGGAATTTTTTGCTTAGTACTATTTTTCTTCGGAGCATGCAAACCCATAAATCGTGGAAAGCTGTCAAAAGGAAATACCTACTCCACTAGTGATGTGGAGGAAAACAGATGCCACTTATTCAATAAACTAATATCCACACAGAAGAAAAATGTTGACTAGATACCTCAGAGTCAAAGTTGGTTTGAAAGTTTGTCAATAGAGAATTTTATGGCCATGAACTGAGGATGAAATTTAGCTGAACAAGTGAATTAAAATTTCAGGTACTCTGACCAGTGGCATAGTAGATATAATGGAACTATTATTTATGAATCAAAGCTGGTTTATTTGACAATCTTGATAGCTGGCAGCACAAAAGACAAAAATCAAATTAATTCAACAAAAAAAGACTGCCTGTATTTTGTGTCTCCTTCAGCTGTAAAGCTTGCTTGAGTAAAACAGTTGAATCTCCTGGAAAATTATTTTAAATACAGCACTCAAAAGCAAGTTACATTTGACCAAAATCCAATAGAAGTAGGTAGCTAGTCATAACATTAATGTATGTGTATAGACACATATATGTAATGTGTATGTTTGTGTAATAAGCAGGGGTGGATATAGGGCAGGGCGAATGGGGCGGCCGCCCTGGGCCCCGTGCTTAAAAAAGCCCCGCGCATGTGCCGTGGCGCCACCGTGCATGCGCATGGCGTCACGGTGCATGCATCGTGCCAAAGGGGGGGCCCCGCGGAGTTACGCTGTCCGGGGCCCCGCAAAACAGTCATCTGCCCCGGTAATACGCATATATCCACTGCTGCAGGATGAAAATAGATTAATTTTAAAGTGTGTATTGTAGTACTAGAGTCCAGAACTTAATCTGGAATTGAATTTTGAGAGTTGCTAAAATTTTGGATGCAGCAAAATATTTTCAAGTTTCTGTGCCCTTTAGCGATTTCTAAAATGCATGCTGGCTCCAGTAAAAACAAAGTACTGTTGTGTTAAAAATATATAATTGTATTGACAAATAGCTTTTATTGCTATTTTTTCATACTATACATTATGTAATTTTCTGTTAGCAGCCAACTTTCAAATGCCTCCTGAGTTCCCACAACATGTGCCGTAACCAAAACTGCCAGAGAAAAATATTTTCCCATAGTTTCATAAAATATTGTTTGGGATTTTAACTACATAATTCCCAACTGTATTTGTTGGCAATATTTTGAAAATATAGGAGTTAGTACTGTGAGTCAGAGATCTTGATTCCAGTTTTTTCTGGGTTTTCATATCCTTAACTAGAAAATACTAGTATTTAAACTTATGTCATATCCAGCCTTTTACTCCCAATATAAATGGTATTAGACAAGTATAAAGCTAGCAACATAAGAACTGGAAAAGAGGCATCTTTGCTGATTTCTAGGAACACCTCTTATTTCTTAAAGTAATGTACAGGATTTCCTGGCAACAAGAAATCAAGGTGTAAATTGCAAAGGCTTGTTTTCCTGTCAGTCTTTGATAACTGTATGCAGCTCTTAAGGTTTGGATTTTCTTTCCCCTATCTATCCCACCACTCTCTCTGATAAACAGCTACATGTTTGTTGTCAGACATTTGTAAACACACCAGCCTCTGCATCTTTGATGTGAGGGAAGTAGCTGGCTGCCTTCTCTAGCAGAGGCCATGAGACTATCTAGTCTGGCATTGTGTTTGTTTTTCAAGCAAATGATCAACTATAGGTGGTCAAAACTGGGAAAGGATCCTTGAATGTAGATATGATCCCCACTTCATTAGTGTGAAATTTAAGAAATGCAAACTATTTGGGATTTGAGAAATTCAAAGAAGGAAATGACTTAAAATCTCTTTATCTCAGAAGATATCTGAATGAGAGTGGCGGATAAGATAAGAGTGACAAAGGACAGAAAATAAAATGTTTTTCAATCAGCCTCTGTGAACAGAACACTGTTCAGGAGGCAAAACTTAAATGAATGAATATATACTGGATACAAGTGAACCCAAGATGAGGAGAATCCCAAGTTCTCCCTGAATTTTCTTTGAAGTTGAAATTAATTAAGATTTTAATGAAAGCTTATTTGCCCCTTTTATTTCCTTTCCTTTCCTTTCCTACTGGTATTTCTTTTCTGTTTGTTAAATAATGTAGAGTTTCTCTGGAGTCACTTGATGGGGTGGGGAGGTAAGATCTCAATCCATCCAGATTGGACCCAGGGACCATCCAGGCCTCTGAAGTTTTCCTTAAACTCTTGCCCAGACAGAGGCAATTTGACCCAGTATTCCTTGAACCAGAAGTCAGAAATCCCTTTTCTCTTCTGTTTTTCTGCTGCAGAAACTCCCAACAATCCCATTTGGGGGGCTCCAGAAAGGGGTAAGCGAAAGCCTTCAATCACAGTGAATCATTTTCAGACTAATATTTTCATTTATTTTTTAAAAGTCAGCAACAGTTCTCAGAATGACCAGTTTTTATTTACATCTTTCTTTTTTCTCTCTTTGATTGTCATGTACAGTATGTAATAGTGTTAATGGAGGGAGGATGCCTGCACTTCCCAGGTGTTTCTTGTGGCCCACTTTCATATTCAATGTGTATGTGTGATATTTACTCTTGTTGATTGTCAGGTATTTAAGCTGATGATTGGAGGGTAGACATGATACGTGCAAGTGTGCCCTTAGTGGATGGATTCTGATGTTATCTGGCCCTCATGCTCTTTGTTTCCTTGAAGAATATTAATGTACCCTTAGTTTTGCTGTTAAATTTCAACAATGAATGTCTGGATTATTTTTTTAAGGTTAAGTTGTCAATTTAATTGATGCTTTTCTCTAGGCACCATGGCGCTACCAGAATTGGTATTTTTCTTGCAGTACATTTTTCTTTGTAGGATGTGTCTCTTTGGCTGTTGGTACTGTTGCCCTAATCAATTAATTAGTTTTTAAAAAAATCTATAGCAACCAAACAAAAAATGAATACTGTGAACAATGTCTGTTTCTGTTTATAGAGTGACTATGGAATATTGTGCAATTAAAGCAAATATCATGCTGAATTGAACATTTGTTCTTGCATACTCCTTTCAAAAAGATTTGCAGGCTTCCAGCACTTACAGTTGTTAGTAGCAAAAGATGCACAATGTGGTACCACTTCCATATTGCTTCAGAAGTTTAGAAATACGTGAGCTATTTTGTTCTTTAATCTCTCCCCAAATATTTATGAAATGATAGCCCCAAAAGCCACAAAATGCTTGATTCTTTGATCCTTACTTGTACCAAGCCATTCTTACTCATGTTTGTAGTCTTGTTGATGGCAAGAGGGCGACTCTGTGAGTAAATGTTTCAGGAGTGGACCTATAGTTAATAAATATAACAAAATGCATCCGAGCCCTGAGAGTACTTCAATATGCAGGTTAGATCTTAAATGTCACTTTGCACAATCATGTCCTCTCAGTTCAGTTCAGTTAGGAGTCTGTGTACCTACACTCAGTGCTTTATAAATACTCATGGTAACTTCACAAATTCCATGTGATAGGGCCCAAGGCAACTGATGAGTTAAAACAAAGCAGCCACGATTGGGCATTCCCTCACTCATTCTGCCCCTGTGCAGGGACTATGACAACATCTTCTTCACTTCTCTCAAACAGTCATTTTGGGCTACTCAGAATGGCAGCTGGAGTGCATCCCAGACTCCTTGGTACGCATTTCCCCCCTCATTAACCATACAAAACAGCAGATTCCATTCAAATGCCATAGCCATTCAGTTATGAGGAGGGTACTAAGACTACAGCCCACGACTGCAGTTCTGCTTCAAAACCACTGATGTGTGTGTCAGAACAACATGCCTTACTTTCATTGACTCAGGTAACATAAAAGCACCAGTGATGCCTGAATCGGAGTCTTCCATCTTCTCATAAAACTTTGGCGCCAAACTGCTTGTTTAATGGGGAAAGCTGCAGTGTCCCTCTCCCTGGCATTCTGACATCATGCAATATATCTTTTGTTTTTTTCACTAGCATCAAGGCCCTACACTTAGCCTTCTGACAGTGAGAAATGCATCTGCAGCTGTGTGTCAGGTATTCTCCCATTGGATAGCACTTCTCTAGCTGAGGAAGCAATGACACTGATTCACCATTTGGCTTGGCTGATTTGACAGTATTTCAATGAAAGGTTTACTGGTATTCAGATACTAACTGTTACAAGCAACTCATCCTCAAAAGATTACACTGGAGCGCTGGGAAATACATGAAGATAGTCAATGAAACTGTGTGAAAAAGCCCATCAAAGACCAGCTCATCATAAAAGAGAAAAAAATTGAGAATTTCAGTAGAAAATAATTGAGATTTTTTTTTCAGGACTCTGATCAGACACTCTGTCATTCAAATATTTCCTCCAATTTATGACGGAGACGGTGTAAAAAAATAGAACACGTGTTCATATGAGTTGAATTAGTCCAGGAGTTCTGCCCTTTTGGATCCAGATGGCATGTTGCAATACGGAATTTGTGGGCACAAGAGAGAGAAATCTTTTTCTAAAACAAGACTAAAAAATGTTTCAAACCTATGTATTTTTTTGTTTGGGGATTTCTTCAAATGAGAAAACAGTAAATAAATGGTCATATTCTAGTGCAAACTCCCCAAAATGTTACACAATTATTTGGATAAACATACATACTTTGAATAAAATTCAGTTATGTGCAGGTGGCATATGACTTTGTGCTGATCATCCATAGAGAATGGACTACCAAAGAGAAGCAAATTTTAGTGATTAGAAAAGAAAACAGCAATCAATAGTGGTTTCAACAGAATTTACACAAGAGACAGGTTTAAATTACATTTAAAAAACCAACGTTCTTAACTATGTCTGTGACCTTGGAAAATGTAGTTTGAGAATTTTGTAAAACCTTAGATGCCAGAGATTTATCCATACTTAAAGAAATTACTTTCAGTATTATATTTTAAATGTCCAAGTCCATAGTTTTAACATTCATGTACCCAGGGGAGACCCTCAGATCATAGAATCATAGAATACTAGGACTGGAAGGGACCTCGAGAGGTCGAGTCCAGTCCCTTGCCCTCATGGCAGGACCAAATACTGTCTAGACCATCCCTGATAGACATTTATCTAACCTACTCTTAAATTTCTCCAGAGATGGGGATTCCACAACCTCCCTGGGCAATTTATTCCAGTGTTTGACCACCCGGACAGTTAGATGAGTAAGGGTTATCAGATTGGTTTCTAAAGGAGAGACATCAAGGGTCCCTAAAAGCTGATGATGTAACTCTGTAGAATCTACCTCTAGAGGTGTAATGTTATCAAAGCTAGGTTACTAAATGGATGTCTAATACATGAGGCCAATGAGAGCCATATAATTTTGTCTGTTGGCATAATTTGCCTCTTAGGTAAGGTGATGTGCCTTCTTTGAGTTTTGGGGAAAAGAAAATGGAAAAGCAGGAAGGCACATGGCCTAATGTGTAAAGAGAGAGGACTGGGAGATAGGACTGCTGTGTTCTTTTTGTTGATTCTCAGGGATACCCTGTGCCACCCTATGTTCATTTCTGTGTTTTAAGTTTAACCTTCCTTAAAATTGGCATAATAATACCTAACTCTTGGATGTATTTGTTAGGCTTAATTAATGTTTCTAAAGCACTATGAGAGCCTTTCTGAAGTGCTACAATATAGAGATGTAAAATAATTACTGTTACTATGTTAGTACTTCTAGCACACAGTGGTGGGAAGAAAATTCTAGGAAAGATTTTTACAAGAAAAAAGTTTCTTGGGACTATATTTTCATATGCAGGTGGATACATTTCACCTATAAAACATGCATATTACAATTTATATACATGCAAACATATATCTATGTGGAGGAAGGTATTCTTCATATGTTCCCATTCATGCATAAAAGTAAAAGTGCAGAAAAATTCAAATTTGTCTGCATATTTGCTTGCTGGAGCATCCACCCCAGGTCAGTTAATCTCTTACCCATAAGGGTAACTTAAAGCTCATGGGCAGTTTATTTGAAGTCAGTGGCACTATTACATGCTTACATTTATACATTAATGAAAGAACTTTGTAAGTATCCACTTACTGTAAGCAGTCCCCAATATGCAGAATTGTGTTTTTGAATGAGGGATTGTGAATGGGGTTGGAGCCATGTTTCAGCTTCAACCTAGATGCCTCTTTTTGAAAATGGAGCCTATGAAGTCAACAGTTTTGTTTTCATTTCATTAGTCCTATTATCATCTCCATGATCCTGAGAATAAGGGAGCCACCATCTTAATACTCTTTTCAGGATGGAGCAAATGATGAAACGAGGATAACCACTACATCAAGGACAACCCTGCTCTGGAGGTGTCCATGTAGTCACCAAACCAATTGTCCCTCACTTTCACTACTTTTGCCCTGCTTTCTTTTTTTAAAAGCAATATATTGATTTTTTTTCTGTTAAGTAGAGTAAAAATGGTTTTTATACTCTCTTCTTGGAAAATACCATAAAATATTATAACAGTACTCAAAAAGTCATACGTTTCTGCATATTGGGAATGGCTTCAAATTCAAATAAAGTAGATATTTACAAATTGTCAGATCGTTCATTTATGTGTGCATAAATTTGTCTTCTTTATAAAATAGGCTTTTCTTAACTTATGATGCATATATTTAGCTCTTAATTAATCCTTTTCTTGGTTAAACTGACTGGAAATATGCATCATTTATGCAGACAACAGGGGTCAATTCATTTTGGGAAATAACATCTTTTGTAGCTTTTCCTGAAAAATGTGAGTGAAAGGTAACAAAATGAAAGACAAAGTTCATCACGTTATGTTTCATGCAGTGTAATGATATATGAATAATATAAAATGTAAATTGTCATAATGGACAAAAAATCTAGTTTGAACCAATGTGGAGGCTAATGCAAACATTTTATTTGGCTTCTTAGTGTTTGCTCATTACTGATTTACTATTTTTTACATACAAAAAATGTTAATTATTTACATACAAAAAATGGTGTGATTTTCACAATGTGAAATGAATCATAATGATTGTTGTTAAAAAATAAAAGATTAATTGGTTTTATTTCATGGCTTATTGTTTATTGTGGGAGCTGTTAAAATAGATGACCAGAGGCTAATAAATGTTAATGGTCCTTTCACTTTTAGAAAATCAATTGTTCACGGATATAGCATATCTTAATATTTTCTTTTTGCTTAAAATGTATAAGCTTTTAAAAAAGCCTGAATTTTCATGTCTGTTTGATAGATAATTTCCTTATCTGTTAACAATGCATTTAAAGAAGCAATAAAGCTGAAGAACATATTTCTCTTGTCTTCCAGCAGTGGTAATAGATATAAAGTGGTTATCAGTGTTTTATTTAAAATATATTGTTCCACGTGCACTTACATAATTTGTAAATGGAATAGGGGGAACAATGTTAGTATAATCATCCAGACCAGGTAACCTTTCCACAACTTGTGTGTGTGTGTGTGTGTGTGTGTGTGTGTGTGTGTGTGTGTGTATTTCAAACTTGTTTGAAAGCAGTTAGATAGATTTTCAAACGTAAATAATTAAAATTGTATAGTATTGAGTTATTGACCAATACCAGACTATTAATCAAGCAAAAAAATTCTACAATCAGTGCTCAATACTCTGAAGCACTATACAATAATAGTATCTGTGATCAGTGATGCAAGCAGCCACAATTAAGCAGCTCACTTGACAAATGAGAGGGTACACTTTATTTTGCACTTAATTGAATTGTTGTACATGCTTGGTCGCCACTGTCTCCTTCCCTTTAGTTTTGGTTCCTGGTCATTTGAACATATACATTTGTTAAAAAGAGAGCAATTAAGATTGTGTTGGCCATTGGCTCTAAAAATTCAGACAGCAAGAGTTGTGCCCTGAATTGCTGCTCTCTCTAAAAATCATTAATATCCCTCAAGATATTCTTAATTTTCTTAAAAAAAAATTGATAAATGGAACATGACCCCATCACTGATTTACTTTAAATGTCATAACTGATGAAAAACATTCTAAATATTGAAGTATTTTATGAAATCATTTTTATTTAAAGAGGGATTTGTGCAGGGAAGGAAATTAAATCTATTTTGCCAAAACAGAAATTGATTTCTCACAGCAGTTTTTGCCATTTAACAAGTTAGTAATGGTATTTGTACTCAAACTACTGTTCTGTCTCATCCTTCTGTCTCCAGATGCTTCTTTCTACTTGATTTTGTAGTAATCTTGTTATAATTCTTTACTTGTGGCATCACAATCAGTGTCACTGCAATAAATTAAGATGTCACAAAAACAGAATTATGATTTCTTTTTGGGATCACAAAAAAAGAAAATCCATGCAAGGATGGAGAAACCAATTAATTAAATGGAAATGTCTTCAATAGTAGCAAGAATACATAAAGAGAATAGAAAATGCAAAAGCTTCTTGTTACTGTTTTCCAAATTTGTCGCATTGTAAAAGTTCCTCTTTAAAGAGCTGGGTTTTTTGGAGTGCAAGAGATTAGAAATAATTTATTTTCAAATGGCCATAGAAACCAATCTGGGCTTTACCAGTGCAAGTACAGGTAAAATGTTTAGCTAAAACTGCACTAATGCTAGAGAAGAATAGGACTTTTCTGAGTAAGCTAAGATAGGGCTCAAATCCCAAGTCAGAGGGAGTTGTTATTGCATAGGGAATCCAGTATTGCACCCTTAGTTTGAGGAAACTAAAAAGTCAGACATACAATCTAATCCAATTCTGTGTATACCTGAAGGATACTTTATGGCTATATTGGAGGCTTTAGAGTGGCCTTGTAGTATCTCTGGTACATGGACTCTGACATCCAAATTTGCATAGTGGTTCACAGGCCAGTGAGGAGATTGAATGTCTCCTACTATGGATCCAAAGACTCACACCCAGACTCCTCTTTGCAAACTAAGAAATTAATTTTAAAAAGTTTGCTTGAGCCACCCAAGTTGTTTTCTACTCACTGATGCAGAAAGTAGTGATCATGTGGTGTTTCTGTTTTTTTGCAGACCCTATCAGTGTGGCCACTGCTCTCAATCCTTCTCCCAACCTTCAGAACTAAGGAACCACGTAGTTACCCATTCCAGTGACAGACCTTTCAAGTGCGGCTATTGCGGTCGTGCCTTTGCTGGTGCTACAACACTCAACAATCATATCCGAACGCATACAGGGGAAAAACCCTTTAAGTAAGTAACTGAAGCTACCAATGTTGATCAACAACAAGCAGAGAGGGAAGGCATAGCAGCTGTCCGGCCACAACAGCCACTCTATGCCCACCCATGGGAGAGGTTCTTTTGAAAGCCAAGGGCAAGATTCCAGACAGACTCATTAGCAATGTGACTGAAATCAGAATCAAACCAAGCATGTATATAGATAATCTAGTGCATCTGTGGTTCAAAGCAAATGCCTGTTATCCAATTAGAACTTGATTGTTTTAATTTAAATAGAAGTTTAACAATTGTGTCTCACTTAGAGAACGTTAGTTGAAAATGTCTGTTGAACTGAAGAGGATGGGTCAAGGCTGTGCTATAACAGGCATAATATGGTTCATCACTGTTTTGTCAATGCACTGAAGAAGCTCATATATCTCTTACCTTGTAATTATTAATCACATACAGAGAAACATGTATTTTTAGATTTAGAATCATTGGACTGGGGAAAATGATACGTGTCTTCCATGACATGACTCTAGTAAACTCATGGAAAAATAATTTGCAAATCCAAGCCATCCAAGTGATCAGACAAAATCAGCTGTTGGTCAAGGCAGTTTTAAATTTTTAGTTAAAACTGTGCTGGAAACTTTGAGTATGTTTCAACAAAATCCTTGATACAAATATTTTGAATTCAAACATTCCTTGAGTGTTTGGAAACAAACCTTGTTTCACTTTTTTTGAATATCATGGTCTCTATAATGAGCCATCCCAAAATCTGAAATTCAAATACATCAAACTTGGTAGGGTTGGAAATCTAAATTTGAATTTTTGTGACTTGGGCCCATATTTACTTGCAAGTTCATTCTTAGGACAAGTGGTTATCTGTCAGAAGTGTCACTGCAGTTCTGCAGCTGTGGAGTTATACATGTAGTAATACCCGTAGTGCAGGTTTCAGTGTAGATGTTTGCAGTGAGACTGTTATTATCGACATTTCATGGACTTCTGCTTTATAAGGCATAAATTCAGAAAAAAGAGGGAATTTAACAAGATCCTCAGGCTTCTGCACTTTAGAGGTAGTACAGAAGTCACTTCTCTACCTCACCTAGTTATTCACTTCAAATAAAACAAAACAATCAGAGAAACCACAGAAAAGTTTTTTGTCACTGTTTGAGAGGCTGGTGCACAGCTGATGAAGGCAGGTTCTACTTCATTCCAATAAAGGACTCTGCTCTGACCAACTACTTACTTTTTACTAATGCACATTTTCTTTTGTGAGAGCCTTCTAGCTTGGCTGAATTGAGAAAGGTGGATTCATGTAATTTTCTGCCTGAAGCCAAAACCCCGGGGGGGGGGGGGGGGGGGGGGATTTTCTGTAAAATACCTGGTCTTCTGTGGAAATAAGTAGTTGAAGGGAGAATGTGTCTTTCCCAGTTCACTATGTGCCCTCACTCAACATTATTTCCCCCTTCTATTTTATGCCTGTCTAATGTAAAAGAGCTACTGTCACTGAATCCCTCATAGCAAGATCCCATCAGAATTGCCCAGTCTCATATAGGGCCACAAGAGAAGTATGCATGTTTGTGCTGGGGAATGGGAGGACAGAACTAGAATTCTGGACACATAGTATACAGTAGATTTTGGAAACCAGGAATAGCAAGTGAATGTCAAGTCATGGAATCCTGTAGCCTTGACAATGACACCCATAGAGATAGTATTTTTGTGTGAACAGAGCCCATAGAAAGAAAGCCCAAAATATAGTGCTAGCATTCAGATTGATTTTTATCTAGTTGCTGTGTAAATAGATTTTAGTAATTAATTGAAGAGGTTTCCAGGTCAAAGTGGAAAATAGATTTCTTTTAATGTTAAGGTGTTACTTATGTGTAACCTTGTTGACTCCACTTAATTTTTTTCTTAACATCCTGTTTTTGGCATGTTTCCAATAGAGCTGCTGTTTTGTCCCATTTAAAATCATTCATTTTCCCCCTTTGATCTGGTGATTTTTTTTACTTTTCGTAATGTTCTTTGTGACCCCAACAAAATCTCGTTCTTGAAAGAAGGTACTATGTAATTAACAAATATTCTGGGGTGTTGTTTTGGTTTTTTGTTTCTTTTGCGGCTCATGTTAAGATAGACATGTACTTGACAACATGGATCTGCCATTTCGTAAAGGTGGACTGCAGAACAGCTAAATAAATAAATGTTATGTGTACATGCACACGTGCACGCATCCTTTACTGCTTCCTTACAATGGATAAGGACAACATTGTATAAGTGTTTTTAGGTTTTTTCACAAGCTTAACGTAAGAAACTTCAGTTCTAATTGCTTTGGGGGAAGAGGGGATTTGCTGATGGTCTTTACAAGAGCTTTGGAAGACCCTGGATAGTGGTTTCATATGGAGCCAAACTGGAGCTCCAACTCTCCCTGTCTGCAGATGTCACAGGAAGGGATCCATATTCTTATGCACTGATCCTACAAGTTTCTCCACAAGGGCAGAGCCCCACACTCATGCGGGCCAGCATGCAAGAGGGTAGGCATTAAATTATTTAGAAATCAGTTTTCCCCTCCTCCACTGACGGGCAAGGCAGAGCTGCAAGTCATCTACCTCATATAGGCGTTATGGGGATAAATAAATGAAAAAGATTATCAAGCGTTTTTTGATCTACTGATTAAAAGGGCTAAGAGAACCTTCCAGCCAGGAACAGATTTACAAATGTGAGAATCTGAGACATTAGCTCTACAAAACCACATAGACTTCATTTTTTTTATATGCATTGAGGATTCTGGCATTAAAAATTCAGATCTACAGGGTTTGTTAGGTTTTCCCCTTATACTTTGTTACAGTTTTCCCCTTATACTTTACAGTTAGGTTTTCCCCTTATACTTTGTTACAGTTCTATAGCTACTATATATTATAAAGTAACTATTTGTGTATGACAGTTGATAAAGGAAAGCCCCAATGATTTTACATAAAAATTGCATACATTACAAAATAATTAAAATTCAAGCATGAATATTAATTAAACAATACACATAAATACTTCAAGATTTTTATTATTGCTTTTGGGTATATCCATCATTCACATCCTCCCAAGTTGCTGTCAAATTTTATAACAGAAGAAGGAATTGAGGGATTGATACTAAAATAAAAACAAACAAAAAAAAAAGGAAGGGGCAGAAGAATCTTCAAAAAAACTCTAAACACTGGAGCCATTTTAAAATATCACGGAGCAGTAAATGGTTCAAAGACAATTTTTTCAGGTTTTGCTTTGCAAAGTACTTTTAAAAATGTATGGTTATAAAGGGGATTTAAATGTATGCTGACTTAACAAGTGCAAAACTAAAGAGTCTGTGGGTATAAACTCACCATACCCTTAAAAAACAAGCAATCATGGCAGTGTAAACAGAATCTAACATGTTCCAGCTAAATAGGCTTTGGAAATATTCTTGCAATTAACAAAAGAGATAACTGAAGTGTGTTCAGAAAGTTGCTGGTGTCCCAGATTTTTATTTAACTTTTAGGACCAAGTTACAAAACATTTTTGATTCAAAATTGAACTAAACCGTTTAAAAATATCATGTGTGTGATTTTAAAAATAACGTGCCATTTCTCTGCTGAAATAGGCACACAAGTAACATGCATGCTAATTGCTCATATAAAGGACCAATTAACATTTAACTGGCCATTTATGCAATATTGACCTACTGTGCTCAGGATAGGTGCACACAGAGTAGACACACAACTTAAAGCACTTTTTCTGCATGTGGAAAAACACAAATAATTGTAAACAAAATTTTGAAGGGATTTTAATGTGTTATTAAAGAGGTAGTCTGTGAGTGGTTCAGAGTGGGAGAAGGTTCATTTGCTGCAAGGTCTAAGTGTGTTTGTGTGTGGAGATGGAAAGAGCAATTTCTATTTCAATTTCCCTATTGAGTAAAAAAAAAAAAATAAGTGAGGTTATGTGTAATCAAAGCCCTCTCTATGTTGTCTGGACATCAGGTCCAGTTGGAAGGGACGTTTTTTCATATCATCACAAGCTATGATTTAGCCTCCTCATTGCAATGTTTTATATATTTTCATCTCAGTAAAGTCTCCACAATGGCTCTTAATTTGGAACAAAATTCTCAATCAAATCAAAAGGTAGGAAAAAAACAAAAAATGATTTTCCAAGTCAGTATTTTATGTTCATATTCCCACAGTCTCTTCCAATTCAGTCATTAGCTAAAGCTAAATTAAAGGAACATGATGATGCATCTGTGACAAACAGTAACTGTGACTAGCAGGGTACTGTGCAGCAAACTAGGAGAACAGTGGCCAAACAGTATTTCCTGAAAAAACACCATAATTTCAGTGCTGTTTGAGACCCTTAAAAAAACTACCCAACTACTGAGCAAGGTGAAAGTATGTACACTTCCCCATTTCTTTCTTTCTTCCTCCTTAATCAAAGTAGTAAAAGAGAGAGATGTGCTGTGGAGAAAGCAAAAGTTTCATACTTATGCCATCATATGGCATTGATTATAGAATACCAACTGTCTAATTTTATTCAAAACAATGATCCCTCCAAGTTACGAAAAAAATGGGGATCCAGTTTTCAGTAATGGCTTCCAACTTGGGGGCACAGTTTTCAATCACCCTAAGTCAGTCCCCTGGATAGGAATATGTCTATACTTGCTCCCTAATTCAGACTAGGAATGCAAATGGAGCATACCAAAATTGCTAATGAAGCATGGGATTTAAATATCCTGTGCTTAATTAGCATATTTGCGGCTGGCTGCCATTTTGGATTCGGGATATTGCGAAATCAGTTGCCCCGTGTAGACGCGTTATTCCGAGAGAAAACCCTTCTCTCAGAATAACTGTTATTTCTCGTGCAATGAGGATTAACAGTTATTCCGAGAGAAGGATTTTCTCTCGGAATAACGCATCTACAAGGGGCAATTTATTTCGCAATACCCAGAATCCAAAATAGGGGCAATTTATTTCACAATACCCAGAATCCAAAATGGCGGCCAGCCGCAAATATGCTAATTAAGC